AAAGTTTTTCTTGTCTTCCAGAGTCAAAATATATCTTCTTATTTTTAATGGTTATCTCAATATTCACCTTTCATTATATTTTAAAATGTCAGAGACCTCTAACTAAAGTAATAAGATTATATTTGGCAAGAGAAAGCTAATTCTCAAATCACTTAGCAGACATTGAATTTTGCAGTGTTCCTCTCTTCTTAATTTACTGACTTAAATATCTAGGGTTTTTTTGTTTGATTTTGTTTTTGTTTTAGGCTAGCAAACTTTCCTCGACTTGTAATAAAATACCTTTTTTCTTCCTATATATATAAATGCTAAATAAGCTTATTTACTTCCAGGCTTTCTGGCTATTATTGTATCTCTAAATATAGCTTGTTCTTAAAGTGTTTTTCAAATCTAAATTTAATCTGAAAGTGTTAAAGTGTTTTTCAAATCTAAATTTAATCTGAAAGTGTTAAAGTGTTTTTCAAATCTAAATTTAATCTGAAAGTGATGAGTAAGATTTCACAAGATGTTCTGAATAACTCTACCTCAGCTGGACCTAATGCCATTTTATTGTTTGGCATTGTTTTTAGTGCATATTTTAAATGACTCATTTCTTGAACTTCTGCTCAATAATTTCTAAAAGAGTTCAATTAAATTATGCACAGTTGAAGTTCTTAGTGTTCCAATTACTTTTTCCTTAGCAGTTTTAATTTCATAATATTTATAGAAAAAAACAATTGGATTGATATGTATTCTTTTACAAAGAAAAGTTGAATTGTATGTCTTTATGGTGCTCATGTAGTTTGTTTAATTCTATTTTTGGCCAGGGACGCACTTTTGTGTCATCAGAAAATAACAGCAGCCCAAGAAAGCATCTATCAATTTGCAAATTGTCAAGGCATTCTGGTCACTGGAGTGTGAAGGTGGACGGAAGGAGGAAGTCTGATTGCTGGTTACAGTTGTATTCAACACTATTTTAATACTGAGAATCACAGCTGAAATACAAGTCAGTTAACTTACTGAACTTAACTCTAGCCTTTGGGTTCAGCATTGGAGATAGAGTTCTTAAATGCTTACATTGATTCTGTGGTTTTAATTAGACTTGGGACCATTTTCTAGATTCTCATTAAGAAGTGGTGTCTGAGTCAAAGCTGATATGGTTGATGTGTTTTCTTCATAATTATCCAAGATGAGCTAATATCAGAGCCTTTATCATTTTATTTCTTTAATTATTAAGCAGAGCTATGTACTAATAATGAGTTCTCTGTGTCTTAAAATGCATGATGCTTGCCTTTCACTTAAAAATAAGTTTGTTGAATGTAATTTTATTTGATCAAGATACTTTATAAAGCCATAAGAAAGAAATTAAGAAATACTCATGTACTAAGAATTAGTGGCAGGAGTGCCTGTGTGGCTCAATCGGTTGAGTGTTTGACTTTGGCACAGGTCATGATCACAGGGTTCATGGGCTTGAGACTCGCATTAGGCTCTGTGCTGACAGCTCAGAGCCTGGGCCTGCTTTGGATTCTGTGTCCCCTTCTCTATCCCTCTACTACTCTCTCTCTCTCAAAAATAAATAATAAACATTCTTAAAAAAAGAATTAGTGGCTGAATGATAAATTGAGAATATCCTTCTTATTGATGATGCAAGATGAGAAAAAGGAAGGAATTATAAAATTTATAGTTGTAAAAGTGAGTGACTTTTATAAATTTTATTTTAAAAATACTTACAATGACTTTTGGCAAAAACCACCAGAGTCAGGCCAAACTTCATAGTCCTTCACAGGAGGACTGCCCTCACTTCAGATATCAGCTACCAGCTGGGGGTTGCTAGGACTATCCTTGCTTCAAACCAACTGGCCCAAAATTTGGGAATTTCCACTGCCCTCCCTGATGTGTTAATGCACTAGGATAACTTAAACAAGACATAAAAACACTATGCTTATGGTTACAGTTTTACTATAGCAAAAGTAAATCAATTGGAACCAGCCAAAAGAAGTAAGCAGAGGAAGAGGTCTGGGAGGTTTCCAAATATAAAGGCTTTCATTGTCCTTTCTCAGTGGAGTGTGGATATGTAACCATCCTGCCATATTGACGTGTGACAATATGCAGATGATGGCCAAGTAGGGAAACTCATCCAAGCTTCAGTGTTCAGAGTTTTGATTGGAATTTGATTACATAGACATGCTTACTTGGATCATTGGCCATATAGTTCCATTCAAACTCCAGCTCCTTTCTTAAAAAAAGGTTTTAATATTTTGTTTATTTCTGAGAGAGAGAGAGAGAGAGAGAGAGAGCATGAACAGGGGAGGGTCAGAGAGAGAGGGAGACACAGAATCTGAAACAGGCTCCAGGCTCTGAGCTAGCTGTCAGCACAGAGCCTGATGCAGGGCTCAAACCCATAAACCGTGAGATCATGACCTGGGCCAAAGTTGATGCTTAACCAACTGAGCCACCCAGGTGCCCCTTAAACTCCAGCTCCTAATAATTTCCTGTCACTCAGGAAATTCCAAGGGTCTGGATGCCACCTCCCAGGAACCATTGACAAAGGCTAGCCAAATTATTTCTTACACAGGAATATCCAATTGAGCTAAGCAGGAGGAAATTCATAGTGTGGCTTTTATAAGGCCTTTAGCTTATTAACATCAATAAAATCTCTCAAGTCTCTAAGGTATAACAAGACTTGTATCATTTATGTGATTCCAAAATTGTAGTGGCTACAACCACTAAAGAGAAGTTTGGTGTGAGAATAAGCAATGACATCTGCTTCTCTTTCTTGTTATTTAACCATCTAAAAGACAACAAATTATTATATAACAAGTAACACCTAACGTATTTTTTTGGGTGATGTGTTCATTATAAAAGGAATCTATAACTTTCTTCCTGTTGCCCATACCTAGAGGTGTTTTTTAAAGTTCTAGCCAACGTGACTGCAAAGCAACCAGAACTTCTCTCCAAAAGCTGCCTTGGACTGTGGATACTATTCTACAAAATCAGCATCATATCATATTTTGTCCTGATGAAGAGTTTTTTTAATTGTATTTTTTGTGTACACTGGGTAATAACTTTCTTGGATGCATTGATTTTCCTCCTTTTTCTGTCGAAATGCTTTCCTTCATGTTTTCCTCAAATCTAAGATGTTTTCCATGTTTCTTTTCACTAATTTGGGATGCTGTTCATTTACCTCTGTCTACACCATTCCTCTGATGCCTTACAGACAAGCTTTACCCCTCGATGCTGCTATACAATCAATTAAAGCATTTGAAAATGATGCGTGATGCATAGTCGTTTTCTATAAATGGATATCTTTTCCGTTCATCAGTTATCTGATGACAGACTAGATCTTAAAATTTAGTATTTTCCATTGCAGAATCATGCAAAACACATAGAAGAAAACATATAAATATGTATTTGCTTCTCTTGGGTACTTTTGTTAATTTGTTTATTTCTTTCAAATAGTATTTTTCAGGGTCAAGTACCAAAGCTCTCAAGAAATTAGACATAAAATGACTTTGAGTTTTAAAGCATGCATATTCGTTGTGTATCAGAGTTTAGCAGATGAAATGCATGTGGGTGATATTGCTCATTTAATCATCTGTTCCTATAATGTCCCTGCTAGCCCTTATTGCACTATGGGAGAATTTTAAAAAATATCTTGTCTTCACTAAGATTCATGTTTATAATTTTACGTGTATTATATACATTGTTTACTAGGAAAATCTTCTTGGTGCTATAAAATAAAGTTGTGGTCCACTTTTATATAGAGCTGTGTGAGTCTATGGCATGGAAGTGGCATCTGTAGACACATTCTCAACAGTTGCATGTATTTGTTTAGAGAGGATGAGAAGATAGATGAAATTCTCCCAAAGGCAAGTAACTCTCTGTAGAATATGATATACAAGATAGACCAGGTTATTGGAACTGGTTGCCATATCAAGAGGCATCAGAGACTGAACTTTAAGGGGTAATTGCCTTCCATTAGATTTTTCTGCATCTTGTTTCTTGATAATTCACTCTGCAATTTTTATGACTTATTATCCTAGAGGAGATCGCTTCCCAGCTTAAAACTTTTTATAATTTCCCTGTCTACCAAACAAAATATAATACAAATATCTAAGCTCTCAAGAAATTAGTCAAAAAATGACTTTGAGTTTGAAAGCATGCATATTCATTGTGTATCAGAGTTTAGCAGATGAAATGCATGTGGGTGAAATTGCTCATTTAATCATTTGTTCCTATGATGTCCCTGCTACTGTGTCTCATATCCAGTTGCTAAAATTCAGCTTTCCTTCAATATCCAGTTCAAACATCATCTTCTTCATGCAGACTTCTATGACCCCTGACCTCTTCCTTCAAAGTACTGGGGCGCTTGGGTGGCTCAGTCGGTTGAACGTCTGGCTTCAGGTCAGGTCATGGTCTCATGGTTCATGGGTTAAAGCTCCGCATCAGGCTCTGTACTGACAGCTCAGAGTCTGAAGCCTGCTTTGGGTTCTGTGTCTCCCTCTCTCTCTGACCTTCCCCTGCTCAGCTGTTTCCTTCTCTCAAAAAAAAAAAGTAAAAATATTTTTAAAAATATTAAAAACAAAAAAAGTATTAAGAAAAAAGGCTTCTGGAATGCTGGTAACAATCTGTTTCTTGATATGAATGCAGGTTGCAGTCACCATACATACAATTTATAAAGTGTACTTTTCTGTGTTCATGTTGCTTATAAATCAATAAATATACTGACCCAGATTTAGGTATTCAAATGTCAGTCTTGTCACTAAGTATTAGAGCCTTTCAGATGTAATGAAATATTGTATCTCACACTCCCATGGAAATATTTTAACACATTATTCAAAATACCAATAATAAAATTTCATGGAAAACAAAAACATATATATGATTACTAATGCTGTACAACTTTAATATATAAAGAAAATCTTTCACTAGCAGCCAAACATTTCTCATTCTTCTCTCAAATGATGTATAATTATATTCATTTTGTGACATTTTCATGCCTTCTTTAATAATATATATGCACATGTATCATCACCCAGTTTCTACTATTATTATACCCCATATTACATTAGTATGGTACATTTGTTACAATAAATGAACTGACTTTGAGACATTATTATTAAGTGAATTCTGAACTTAATTCAGATATCCTTAGTTTTTAATCTGATGTCCTTTTTCTGTTCCAGGATCCTACCCAGGATATGACTTTACATTTAGTTGTCTTGTCTTGTTCAGAGCCTCTTAACTATGACATTTTCATCGGACTTTCCTTGCACTGACGACCTTGACAGTTTTAAGGAAACTTGAGCACGTATCTTGTCCCTCAGTTGATGTTTTCCTTATGATCATACTGGTTTCAGAGTTTTCTAAAAGAAAGATCACAGAGGAAAATTGCTGTGATTATCACATCACATCTAGGATACATCCTGTCAACATGATTTGTTAACTGTTGATGTTAATCTTGTTCACCGGGCTAAAATAGTATTTGTCAAATTTCTCCATTGTAAAGTTAATCCTTTTCTTCTTTCCATACTGTACTCTTTGGAATGAAGTCAAGATGCACAAGTCACACTTGGGAATGGGGAGCTATGTGCCAACTCCTTGAGAACAGAATATCTTCTTAGGTTACTTGGGATTCTTCTGCATGAATTATTTGTCTTTTCCCCCTTTATTAATTTACTTAGTCTCTTATTTATATCAACATGGACTCTTGGATATTTATGCTATACTTTGGACTTTAACCAAACACTACATTATTTGTTTTACTCAAATTTTTCCAGATTTGACCAATGGGGATCTTCTCAATTAGCTCCTGTAATATACTGCATGCATGCACACGCACGTGTGTGTGTGTGTGTGTGTGTGTGTGTTTACTTAGCACTTCCTTACTTTCTGGTACAACAAGGTACTCCAAGCTTACCCTCTGGTAATGAGCCAGCCATTTATTAAGGAGTCCTGATTCCTTTTATTGGAGAATGGTATTAAAAACTAAAATCTTATAACTAAGTATACTCATTGCTATTATCATGTTTGTTGTTTTTAGGCCTTGGAAGCTGACAGATCAAAGAAACATTTATGAGTGTATACTAACCCATATATGTCCACATATATAAATATTCCATATGTTTATATGGAATGAAAGTATATGTATATTTATTATTTTTTTTTAATTTTTTAATGTTTTATTTATTTCTAGGAGAGAGAGAGAGACAGCGTGAGCAGGAGAGGGTCAGAGAGAGAGGGAGACGCAGACTCTGAAATTGGCTCCAGGCTCTGAGCTGGCAGTCAGCACAGAACCCAACATGGGGCACGAACCCACGAACGGCGAGATCATGACCTAAACGAAAGTCGGACGCTTAACCGAGCCCAGGTGCCCCAGTATATGTATATTTATTAAGATAAACATGAGTTACTCTAATCCATGTGGTCATGAATCACTGTAGCTTTCTTCTCTTGATTATCTGGAACTTTTCATTGCAACCTTAAGAAACATGTTCTCTACTATCTGTCATCCATTTATTTAATTGTTGAAATTTACTGTGCATATAGAGTGGTTTCACATGAGAAACAACTTTATCAACTAGAAGACAGTGCTTTGTGTAGTTTCTTTAATCTTACTCCCCTCATTTAAAAACTTGCTTAAGTCAGCACTGTTTCTCTCCACCTTCTATGGTAAGATCAATTCCTACCTTTGTAAAGTAATTAGATTGTTCTTGACAGTTTGCATTCCACTCTGAGATTTATGACGTCTTAAAAGATCTTTTTAGGAGTGAGTAGGTGGCTCAGTCGTTGACTGTCTGACGTCAGCTCAGGTCACGATCTCATGGTTCATTGGTTTCAGAACCATAGGTTTGAGCTCCACATTGGGCTCTGTGCTGACAGCTCAAAGCCTGGAGCCTGTCTCGGATTCTGTGTCTCTTTCTCTGCCCCTCCCCTGATGGTTCTCTGTCACTCTCTTTCTCTCAAAAATAAATAAACGTTAAAAATTTTTTTTAAAAAAGATCTTTTTAATTTGCAGAAATTAAGATTTACTTTCGTGTTATGTAATGTTGCATGGGTTTTAACAAATGCAGTGCCACATATTCACCTCGATATTTTCCTGCAGGAAAGTTATGCCACTAAAAAATCCCCTGTGCTTTATCTATTCAAATTTCATCTGCTTGGGTCCTGAACTCCTGGCAACCACTGTTCTGATTCATGTCTCTATAATTTTGCTTTTACCTCATTCATGTTCATCCTTCTTTCTCTCTCTCTCTTCTTTCTTTCCTTGGTAGGTTTATTTACCAAGTCAAAGAAGTTCCTTCTGTTCCTACTTTGCTGAGAGTTTGCATTATTAATGAGTTTTCGATTTTGTCAAACACTATCCCTGTGCCAGTTGATATAATCATATTATTTTTATTTTTTAGCTTATTTATAAGGTAGATTACACTTATTAATTTTCAAATGCTGAACCAGCCTTGCATAGCTTAAGTTAATCCCACTTGGTTGTGGTATATTTTAATTTTATACATCATTAGATTTGATTTGCTAATATGTTATTGAGGTTATTTGTGTTTATGTTCATAAGAGATATTGGTCTGTAGTTTTCTTTTCTTATAATGTCTTAATCTGGTTTCAGTATTAGGGTTTTACTGGACTAATAGAATGAGTTAGAAGTGTTCCATCTGCTTGTGTTTTCTTGAACATATTGTGGAGAGCTAGCATTATTTCTGCCATAATTTTTGACAGAACCAGTGAGAACATCTAGGCAGAGTGATTTTTATTTTGGGAGGTTGTTCATTATTGATTTAAATTCAAATAACAATATAGCTCCTTCATTTACACTTGTATGAGTTGAGATAACTTGTGACCTTCAAGAAATTGACTGTATTACCCAAATTATCAAATTTGTGGGCATGCTGTTCGTATATACCTTCATTGTTCTTTTAGTATTCATGGAATCAATAGTGATAACATGTATATATATCTATGCAGTCTAAGTCCGCCTTCTCTGTCAGCCTTTCTAGTTCAAAGCAAGTAACAAAGCGTTCTGCATTCTGTCTATTGTAGCATTGCATTTGGTCTGACCATCAAAAATTCTTCTCTTCTCTTCCCTGATTTCTCTCTCTTCTCCTTCTTCAACTCCAACTAAATGTATGTTATACTGTTTTATATTATCCAACATGTCCCTGAGAGTCTGTTCAATCTTTTCAAACTTTTTTTCTCTTGGTTTTGATCTATCTTCAAGTTTACGTACTGCCTTCACTGTAATTTTTCATATATTTAACATCCATCCAGTGTCTTTTATATTTCATATATTATATGTTTCATCACTAGACCCTTATTTACATTTGAAAGATATTTTCTAAAATAATGATGATACTTCCTATTTTTTATTGAGCTATAAAGGACATATAACATTTATTACTTCAGGTATACAAATAATGATTCAATATATGTATATGTGGTAAAATGATTACCACAATAAGTTTAGTTAATATCTGTCACCACACATTTGCAAATTATTTTCTTGTGATGAGAATTTTTAAAATTTATTCTTCAGGCAACTTTTATACATAGAGTATTATTAACTACAGTCACTATACTCTACATTACACCCCCAAGGCTTCTTTATTTTAAAACTGGAAATTTGTACCTTTTGACCGTGTTCACTCGCTTTGCCCACTTTTACCTCCCCATGTCTGGCAACCACCAATCTATTGTCTATATCTATGAGTTCAATTGCTTGTATGTTTTCTTTCAGATTCCACATAGATGTGAGATCATACCATGTTTGTCTTTCTATATCTTCATATTTCATTTGTCATAATGCCCTCAAGGTTCATCCACATTTGTTGTCACAAATGGCAGATTTCCTTTTTTTTAATCTTTATCTATTCAAAAATCAATGGACATTTGAGCTCTTTCCATAAATTGGCTCTTCTCGATAGTACTGCTATAAACATTGGGGTGCATGTCTTCCTTTGAATCAGTGTTTTTGTTTCCCTTGGATAAATTCCTAGTAGTGCAATTGTTGGGTCACAGAGTAGTTTATATTTAACTTTGTGAGGAACCTCCATACTGTTTTTCAGAGAGGCTGGACCAATTTGCATTCCCACCAACAGTGTAAGAGGGTTCTTCTTTATCCACATCCTCTACTGAGTTGTTAATTTTAGCCTTTTGGACAGATGTGACATGGTATCTCATTATGGTTTTGGTTTGTATTTCTCTGATTATGAGTAATGTGGAGAATTTTTTCATATCCCTGTTTGCCATTTGTATGTCTTCTGAGAAATGTCTGTTCATTTCTTTTATTCATTTCTTCACTGAATTTTGTTGTTTGGGTGCTGAGTTTGAGAAGTTCTTTAGAGATTTTGGATACTAGCCCTTTATCTGCTATGTCATCTGAAAATATTTTATCCCATTCCAAATGTTGTCTTTTAATTTTTCTGATTGTTACCTGTGCCATGCAGAAGCTTCTTAACTTTGTGAAGTTCCAATAGTTCATTCTTGCTTTTGGTTCCCTTGCTTCTGGAGATATGTCTAGCTAGAAGAAACTATGGCCAAGGTAAAATAATTTTCTTGTTTTTTTTTTTTATAATAGCCATTCTAACAGGCATGAAGTAATATCTCATTGTGTTTTTCATTTGCATTTCTATGATGATTAGTGATAGTGAGCACTTTTTTCTGTACCTGTTGCTCATTTTTATGTCCTCTTTGGAATAGTTTATGTGTAGATCCTCTGCTCATTTTTAATTGGATTTTTTTTGCCATATGCATTCTTTATATAAATTGGATATTAACTTCTTAAAAGACATATGACTTTCAAGTATTTTCTCCCATTTTATAGGTTGTCTTTTCATTGTGTTGATAGTTTCCTTTGCTGTGCAGAAGCTTTTTAGTTTTGTAGTCCCACTTGTTTACTTTTTGTTTTTGCTGCTTTCCTTTTGGTGTCAGATTAAAAAAAAAAAATCATTGCTGAGGCCAATGTTAAGAGCTTACCACCTATGTTTTACTTTTGGGAGTTTTATGGTTTCAGGTCTTTTCCTCAAGTCTTTAATTCATTTTAAGTTTGTAAATTTTGTAAGAGACTGGTACAGCTTCATTCTTTTGTATATGGCTGTCCAGTTTTCTCAATACCATTTATTGAAGATACTGTCTTCTCCCCATTGTATATTCTCACCTCTTTTGTTGTCAATTAATTGACCATATATGGGTGGGTTAATTTCTAGGCTCTCTATTCTGTTTTATTGATCTATGTGTCTGTTTTAATTCCAATACCATACTATTTTATTTTTATAGCTTTGTAGTATACTTTAAAACCAGAAACCATGATGCTTCCCACTTGATTGCTTGACTATTTGGTGTCTTTTGTAGTTCAAAAAAA